TGCTCACAGAGCAGCTCCAGGAAGCCAGCGCTTCTTCCCCAACGTCACTGACAGTGCCCCCTGCTCTTCCTCTGGCCCCTGGACCTGTAGCATACCTGGGTCTCACACAGCCACCAGGGTGTCATACTATGAAGGTGGGGCCCACTTCCATCTGTTCCTCTGAGGCTGCCCATACATCCCCCACTTTCTGATGCTCCACAGTTGCCTCAGCATGGAAAGTTCTTCCTGGGCTACCCCATCCTGGTTCTCACTCTCTGACCCCCAATCACCCCATCCTGCACATCTGCCTCTCAGAACGGAGACCCTCACCTGTCACCTCGGGGTTGGCTCTGTCACATCCCGAATGATGTCACCTCCTAAAAGAGCCCTCAGCACACAGGAGATGCTAAATCAATCCTCAAATAAATGAATCGCCTCTCCAGGCTCTGTTTTTTTCCCAGGACATGCCTCCCAGGAGGCAAGGGCAGGATTGTGGTGATGGGTACATCCCCCCCAACCACCACCACCATGCCTCCACCTTGGCCTGGCCTGGGCTTGAATCTGGAAGAGCAGGCAACAGAGACCCAGTCCCTGCACACCCAACAGGGCCTCCCTGGCCTCTAGCCTGACTCCATGGCCTCACAAACTGCTGACCAGGCAGCTGGGTCCTGAGGACAGGGTCGGTGGGGGATGAACAAGAGAGTTGTGGATCTAGCAGGATTCGTGTCCCTTCCCGGTGGCTTTCATGGCTGACTCAAAGTTCCCACACTTGCTCTTTCCAAAGCAGCTGGCTGGTGAGGAAACCCCTAGCTTGAGGCATGGCATGTTTCTTCCTCATACTTGCCTGTCCATCAGTGGCTGCATGGCACTCACCAGGGGACCATCACTCATAAAATCCCCTCTCCTCCTCCTTGTGTATCTGTGTGAGGCCCGTAGGCCTTCATCTGCGGGTATGTACTAGAGGACCTGTGCCTTTGCCTGGAGTCAGCCTCGTGCATGTACTGGGATGGGAGGCGTCTGCGTGCACACATTCTGCACCCACATTCGTGGCTATCTGCATGCACATATCCATGTGAGCTGGGTTGGCGTCCCTGTGTGTACACAGCATTGGGGTGTGCCCTCCTTGTGGGGTGCTAGAGACAAGTGGGTCTTGTCCCAACTTTAGAGCTAGCTGTAAATAGAGACGGGTGGAGGGGCTTCGGTGTGCAGGGAAGGGAGTAGAGGAGGGCAGAGCGGTACCGCTGTGGCTGAGGTGGAGTTGTTCCATACGCAGCAGCTCTGGGGCTTATCAATGGGCTGCCCAGAACTAGCGCAGAGGACAGGGCTACCTGCAACATGGTAAGACTCATGGATCCAGGTTTGCAGACTTTTCTGTTTGCAGCAGAAGTTGAATCTGTTGGAGTCTGTGCTGTGTGGTGAGATCTTTGCAGACCACAGGAAAAGACCAAACAGCCTCAAATGTTCCTCCAGGACATAGCTGAGCTCTCTTGCTAGATTTGTTGTTTGTCATTTTAGTCCCTGTTGGTCCCCAGGAGGCCGGTGGAAGGATGTGTGTGGGGTGCAGGGCGTGGGGTATAAGCTGAGCAGATCTTGTGGCCCTCGGGCAGCGCTGTCAGTAAGGTATCTCCCCACCCCACCCCACGCCACCCCACATCCTCAGACCAGAATGGCTGCTGGGCAAGGACTGGAGGCCTGATCTGCTTTAATTCTCATGCTGAGGCTCGGGAGACACCAGGCTCCTCTTGGTGACATCATGGCTGCCTCTTAAGAGCACCTGAGGAGTCGGCGAGGCCCTGGATGCACAGGTGTTGAGTGAAGGCTAATTCTGGACTATGGTCACCCTTGCCTCAGTCCCAGAATCACATTGTCCTCTAGCCCCTGTGGTCCAGGTAGGCCATGGCTAATACCTGGTACTGCTATTGCCCTGACACACCAACACAGAACGGACAAGCATGCACATCTGCACACGGAGACACACACATGTACATTGGCACGCGCAGGACTCTCAAGACCATTTTAAATGGAGCTCTAAGGCACCCCAAAGTCCCTGGCAGCCCACCCCAACCTCTGAGCCAGGAAACAGGATGCCTGAAGCCTCTCCACTCTTACCACCTCACCTTCAGCAAGGTACTCGGGGACACAATGAGACCTCCTTAGAAAATGGGAGCCTTAAGCCAGGAGTGGTGGCGCACACCTTTAATCCCAGCGCTCGGGATACAAGGCAGGTGGATCTCTGAGTTCCAGGACAGCCAGGGTTACAGAATGAGTTCCAGGACAGGCAGGGCCACACAGAGAAACCCTGTCTCAGACAACGAGAGAGAGAGAGAGAGAGAGAGAGAGAGAGAGAGAGAGAGAGAGAGAGAGAGAGAGAGAGAGAGAGAACCCTGCACAGGACAAGGAAAAGCCAAAGGAACTTCCCACACATGGGGTTTCTGAGCTCCCCAAAAGGCTTCTAGAAAAGACCATCTTTTAACTCCAGAGTGAGTGGCTGTGACTACCAAAAGGTCCTCATTCATTCGTATGCCTCACCCGTCCTGGAGGAAGAGCCGAGTAAAGAGAGAGAAGGGATGAGAAGATAAGTGAACTCAGATCTAGTCCCCCACAAATGGGGCAAGCACATGGAGCAGCCCTAAGAGGACACCAGCATACTGTGGCTCCTGAGTACCACAGCAGTGCTGCAGGGGAGTCCCAGACACTCCAAGGGGACAGGCAAAGCCTTGAGTACTGGATGCTGAGAAACCAGTGTGCTGGGCCATGAGGATGAGCACAGCTGTTGCCAGCTGTCCCCGAAAGAAGTCCCCTGTGGTCATTCAGGACCTGTCTCTGAACTTCCCCCAAGAGGGTGGTTCTGTAATGGCTCTGGGTAACGGAAGGGGAACACAGAGGAGTCCTGGGTCTTCTGTTCTCGACTAGGACTTAGGCGTTCCATTGGGCCCCCAGCAGCCAAGTTTCTCTCAACTCAGAGCCCTTTCTTGGGAAGACACCGTGTGCGAACTTCCCCAGTGAATTGGGAACCTGCAGGTCTCGCCTCACACTGAATTAGTTCTTTTAACTCGACCCACAGTGTCCATTTCTTTCCTTTCCAACAGCATTTTCTCCCCCAAAAACGCTGGCTCAGCTGCTCCCAGCCTGGGGTCCTACGATGCCCTCCCTGAGTTTTATTCTAAGGCAAAAGGAGCCGGGGTGGTGGTGGTGGGGACACTGGACACAAAGGTGATTTGCCTTTCTCAGACCTGGGATGGAGACTGAACTCAGGGGATTGTCTCAAGACTGAAGCTGCTGTGCCACGATGTAGAGCTTCCGACAGAGAGCCCCAGTCTAGGCAGGAGCCCCTCTGGGCTCTAAATTTGCAAACTGAGGACCTTTACACTCTCAGGAAGGGAGGGAACTGCCATCTAGAAGTTTGCAGCTGCCCACAGCCTCGAGAGGTGAGATTCTCAGAGATCTCTCTCACTACCCAGGTTGGGCTTGCATGCTTTGGAGAACAGAGGCTGGGCCACCCCTGGGAGAGGGACAGTTGGCAAGAACGGCCAGGACAGCTCGGGCCACCAGGACACAACTGCAATGCACTTGAACTCGCCACCAAGGACGCCTGCAGCCTCTGCCCTGACCTGCCTCTATGGCAGCCCAGCCCCTAGAAGGCCAGCCAGAGAATGCTGTCTTGGGTACTGACAGATACATTTGCCTCCTCGTCAAGTTCTCCCTGTTCTTGCCTCTCTGGACACGGCAGCTCAAGTAACACTCAATCCAGGGACTTCCATATTTTCCTGTTCCAGGGGAAACATGTAAAAAATGAAAGCCACAGACACATCAGCCAGGTTCCAGTGACTTTTGGATCTAAACAGATTTATTTTTTTTTTAATTTTTCCTTTCCTCAGTTTCGTAACAAATGAAAAAAAAAAAAGAACACAACAAAAACCAACAACACAATTTTTTTTTCAACGAGTTGTCTAGCGTCCTGTTCCGAAGGCTCAGCAGGAGCCGCCTGGGAGCAGCAGAGGACGGGAGGAGCCTCAGAGCACCGGAGCCAAGCCTCAGAAAACCAGATCTCAGCCCGTGCAGAAGCGCCCAGTTTAGAGAGTGCCCACCGCCGGGCCTCTCCCCTGGCTAGTCCAAAAAGCGACCAAGTTTTAAAAAAGATTCCACAAACGAAACACCATTTAAATTAAATAAAAACACCTTACCACCCGCCCATGCCAGGAGGTTCAGGCCTAAGCCTCCTCTTTAAAAATTTTCTTCTAGAACTGTGCATTACTTTTAAAATTCTTTCGATTCTCTGGAAGGTTAAAATAAGATATATTTCCCCAGGAGTCATAAATACGATCTGGTGCATAGAGAAATAGCAGCGCGGGAGTCCGGGCCAGCCCCCACCCGGCTGAGCACGGCCACCCCCCACCCCCCTCCCCCAGTCGAGTATAGCAGGGCAGTGGGACCGACACGCAGGTAAGTTCCTCGGCTTCCTCTATAGGGAGAACCGGACAGGGTGGGGACAAGCGGGCTGGAGGGCAGGCAGGGCCGGACCCCTCGGAGCGAGCGAGCGAGGGCACATGCGGGCACTCGCCGACCTCCGAGGGAGCCTCTGGGTTTTCTAATTATCAAGCAAAATAAATATTCATGTTGCGAAAATAAGACCGCTTTAAAAAGGAGGAGGAGGAGGAGTAAAAACAGGGCTAGGAAAGAGAGACAGAAAGAAAGACGACGGAGGAGCGCAGGGCCGGCGGAGGCTACCGGGAGCTGGTGGCAGCGCGGCCCCGCTGCGGGTGGGCGGAGGTCGGGACGCAGAACTGCGCTCCACGTCTGTACAAGTGAACGTTGCCGAGGAAGTCAGACCTGGCTCGGGCTTCGCTAGTATTCCCCATTCCCGGGGCGCCGAGGGACCTCGACAACATCTAGACGGCGACCCCCGAGGACGTTCAGAGCGGGTGGCCCGGCGGAGGAGGCGCACCGCGGTAGCTACCTGGAGCTGGGAGCTTCGCGGCGGCGGGACGCACAGGGCGGACCGGAGGACCACGGCAGCTGCACCGCCCGCGCGCGCGCGCGCGTGCGTCCCGGGCCTCCGAGTCCGAGCCGAGGCCGGGGCGGCCCGCGCCAACTTGTCCCCGGCGGCGGCGAGGCCCAGGGTCCGGCGCTCACAGGAAGAAGTCGGGCGCGCCTTTGGCTGCACCGGGGCCAGCCTGCGCCGGCGAGGGCTCCCGAGGGAAGCCGGCCCCGCCCGCGCCCCCGGGGCCGCCCCGGCCCGCCAACTTCTCGTATTTCTCCTTGTACAGGTCCCGCTCCTTGGCCAGACGCCCCACCTCCAGCTTCAGCTGCTCCACCTGGCTCTGGAGCTGGCACTTCTCGCTCTCCAGAATGTGCCGCTGCTGCACCCGCTTGAAGCGGCACGACTGCGCGTAGCCGCGGTTCTTGAGCGTGCGCCGCTTCTGTTTCAGTCGGATGACCTCCTCCTTGCTGAAGCCGCGGAGCTGCCGGTTCAGCTCCCGCACCGACATGGACACCAGCTGGTCGTCGGAGAAGCGCTCCTCCAGGCGCACGTGGTGGCCCGCGCCGCCTCCGCCGTGACCCGCGCCTCCGCCGTGGTGGCCCGCGCCGCCGTGGTGGTGGTGGTGGTGATGGTGGTGGTGGGCGGAGTGGTGGTGGTGAGCAGCGTGGTGAGCGCCGTGGTGGTGGCCGGCACCCATGTCGTCCGCGCCACCGCCGCCCGAGAAGCCCTGGCCCCGGAAGGCCTCATAGGCCGCAGCGGCCGCCGGGTGGTGCGCGCCGTGGTGCGCGCCGTGGTGGCCGCTGCCGATGAGAGCCTCCACGGCGTCCTCGGGCGTCAGGTTGAGCGCCTCGGGGTTCAGGTGGTGCTGGTACCCCGCTCATCCAGTACAGATCCTCCAGCACCGCTTTTCCTGAGGCGCCCCCGACAGCGCCGGGGCCTCCACTCGGCGGCCCCGGGGCGCCCCCGGCCTGAGCCGCGCCGCCCCCGCCGCCCGCGCCGCCGCCGGTGCCCGGGCTGGGTGCGCAGAAGCTGGGCGAAGAGGGCACCGAAGAGCAGGGCGTGCTGAGGGGCGTCGAGGACAGCGAGCCGGGCGGCAGGCGGTGGCAGAAGCGCTCGGCCTCGGGCGGCTCCTTCTTCACCTCGAACTTCATCAGGTCGAAGTCGTTGACGTACTCGATGGCCAGTGGGCTGCTGGGCAGCTCTGCGCCCATCGCCAGCTCCGCGGCCATCGCCCGGGGCCCCAGCCCCGCCGCCGCCGCGCCCGGCCGCGCCCCGACGGGCGGCGGGGGAGCGGGGGGAGCCGCGGGCCTCTCTCCCCCTAGCTCCCCCCCTCCGGGCCGAGGTTCGTGTCGCGGTGGGCGCAGGCTCTGGTCGCGCCGCCGAAGGGTGCAGGAAAAGTTTCGTGCAGTCCACTCCGGGCTGCGCTCAGGGAGCGCCGCCGGCCAGGCCTCTCGGGCGGCCCCCCGGCCCGCTGCGGGCGGGCGAAGGGCCCCGATCCTGCGCTCCTCCTCCTGCTCCTCCGCCGTCCCAGCCTGGCGGGTGCAGAGGCCGCGCCCCGGGCTCTGCCGCGCTCGGGGCTCTCCCGCCCCGCCCCGCGCCCCACCCGCGCTGCCGGCCGGCCCCGCCTCCCTCGACCCAGCGGCGAGCCGCGCAAGCCTTTATAGAGACGCGCTCCTGGGCCCGCCTCCCCAGGTGGGGGCCGGCGCCCCCGGGCCAATCGGAGGCCCAGCCCTGCCGCCCTCATTTGCCTATCCCCATGGCAACCGGGAGCCCAGCTGTCAATCTCCTGCGGGAAACAGCTGTGGGAAGGGGTGGGGATGGGCCGCCGGCAAGAGGAGTGGGCAGGGCCCCCTGGTGGCCGCCGCGTGGGACTGCACAGCGGAGGGCGCGAGACCAAGCGTCAGACTTCTGCCACTGGGGCCCTGAGGTCCCAGGATCGCACAGGCAGAGAGGGTGCGGTGAAGGTGCGCCCAGGGGATTCCCTCGACGTCTCGGTTCCGCTAGGTGGCCTAGCTGGCTGTGTCCCGCACCGGGCACGACCGGCCTGGAGTCCCCAGAACGGGGACCTCTAACCATCCTGACACCGGTGACTCCGAGCTGCCCGGGAGCGCCGGCTATTTTTATCCTGTGGTTGGGACGGGTTCAGGAATTCAGTCAACAAAGTTGCTGGCACCTCGGGCGGCGGCGGCGGGATGCACGGTGGAACCGCAGGCCTCTCTGACCGGTGTGGTAGGTGGAGAGGGACAGATGCCTATGGACCACCATGGGGCTAGTTGGGAGCAGGTCTCGGGGGCCACCTGAGTAGAGAGAGGGCCCATTGAATGCGGTGGGGCTGACAGGCCTGGACGCCTGCCCAAGAGTTGCCAAGCGGGGCCCACAAGGAATCTCAGACCCAGCTGCCCACCACTGCGGTTTGGAGGCGCCTTGCAGGGTGGGTGAGACAACGTTGAGGTGGCAGGTGGAAAACAGATTGCCATCTTCACTCCCGCTGAATGTCTCTCTACACCTACTGGGAGGCAGACTCAGCGCAAGAGAAACACAAGAAGAAGGAGGGTAGCTGACAAGGAGGTGTGAGCTCTGCGACCCCCCCCTCCCCCCAGAATTCCTGACCCCAACAGAAGATGGAAAAGGAGTGTGCACTTAGGAGCAACAGCTGGGCATGACTCAGAGCGGGCGTTTTTTCCCCTCTCAGTTGTCTGTATTGCGGTTATACTCCTTTAACTATTAAAAATAAAAATCTTCAATGTAAACCATTTGTGCACAGAAAAAAGCCTGGAAGGATGTTCACAAGATACCCATCCCAGGATGCCATGATGCCAGAGGCTTTGCCTGCTCCCTCTAACAGGTGCCTGCTATTTTACAGGGAGAACGTCCGGCAGCTAGGAGTGAACAGCTCCCAGCTCCTTCCCACGATGTCCTGTGGTGCCCTGACTCTCTTCCCCTTCATATTCCTCTATGCAGGAGGAAGCAAACAGAAGCGTGAGGACCCCCCCACAAAAGTCTCCCCTCAGCCTGTCCCAGAGGAGGCTTCAGAGACACATCGCTGGAACACATAGCTTGGGACTCTGTAGTGCTGAGGTGGTACTTACCCACAGCCATGTCAGGGGACATGTCTATTCTACAGATGAGAAAACAGGTTGTGAACAGTAACAGGCTTTGTCCAAGACGACCTGTATCTATCGGTGAACCTGGGCGCAAAGGGGAGTCTGAGATAGATCATGAGGTCTCACCAAGTGAGCCAGTGTTTCAGCAGCCTATGTCTCCTACAGCTTGCCAAAAGGCTGAGTCCCAGAAGCCCAGGGTCTTAAGGATGAGCTACAGGTCTGGGCATTGCATCCCATGTGGCCTTGGGCATACTGAAAAAAAAAAAAAAAAATAGGGAAACGCTGATACTGGATGGCCTGCCTCCTCCAGGCCTGTTTTTTTTTTTTTTGTTTTTTTGTTTTGTTTTGTTTTGTTTTTGTTTTTTGCCTGCCTACAGTAAGAAAAAGGGAGAAAAAAAAAAACCCAAAAAAGCAAGCAGGTATGGTGGTGCACACCTTTAATCCCAGTACTCAGAGGCAGGCAGATCTCTTGAGTTCAAGGCCAACCTGGTCAACAGATCAAGTTCCAGGACAGCCAGGGCTACACACACACACACACACACACACACACACACACACACACACACACACACACACAAAACAAAATAAAACAAAACCAAAACCCTGCCTCAAAAACAAACAAAGCAAAAAAAAAAAAGAAAAAAGCAAAAGGAGAATGTTGACTCCCTCCCAGTGTGCCAAGAACCATCATAAGCATAGCACCTCAAAAAGTGTGCTCACTCACTGTTTCAGGGCGTCAGGTCAGGAAGGAACACAGTAGGCAGGGCCTGGCACTCGCTTCTGTTGGCATTTCCCAGGCTGCACTGAGCTGTGGTCTCATCTACGACAGGGTTTTTTTGTTTGTTTGTTTGGTTTTTTGTTTTGTTTTGTTTTGTTTTTGACTCTAGGACAGTTGTTGACTTGCTGCTGGCTGGAGGCTGCTGGGTTGGCTGAGTGAAGTGTGGGGAAGGCTGAGGAGACAGGAGAGCCTCAGACTTGAGCAGAGGGAAGGGTGAGCCCTGAATGCCGGGAGATAGCCTGGGCTGGGACGGACTGCTTGGCAGAATAGCCAGGGCAGCTGGATCAAGGTCAGACTTGTGGGGGGATGTTGAGGAGCTTGGGAGACCACATGTGGCCCAGGGATTCTTCAAGGGCTCTGAGTAGAGGGGAACTGGACTGTGAGAAGTAATGGGAAGGTTAGGGTGACCATGATGCCACCCCAAACAACCAGTACCACCTACCTCCTGAGACTACTCAAGGCTGCTGCTTGCTACTGGGCTCAGTGTACCGGATACTCAGCTCAACAGCTCCAACGCCTATTGGATGACAAATACACCTCCAGGAACATTCTCTACCCTTGGGTCCTTCACTCAGAGGAAGCAATATCTGGGCCCTCTGATCAATGTAGCTGGAAGGCTCCTCAACTGGGAGGTGGGGCTCATGAGTTCCTATGGCATGGCCCTGTCCAGCAGGCCCTACCCCTGGCAGCTGCCCATATACACCCACATCTCACTTAGTTCCTTGGGACTTGGATTGTGTGAGGACTAGCTGCTCGCTGCTCACTCTCCTGCGAGGTGGAAGATCTCCAGCCCATCCACCATGGTCTGGAGGCTGCATGTGCCTCTGTCAGGTGCTTGCTAAGTCCTGCATATGGTAAAGAAGGTGAGGTAGGGCCAGAAGAGCAGCACCTATAATGTCTGTCTCCGCCTATACCAGTACCAGTTGAGTACAGGTGCCCACTGGGCTGGTCAGGAGTCCGGCCTGCAGTGCTGCTCACTGGGGAAGTGAGCACAAAGCATGAGGGTATGCTCGCCTAGAACCTACCTATGAAACCAGAGTGCTTAAGGATCCCAGCCTGAGGAGCCCTTTGCCAACCTGTGGAGTATCAGCCTTAGGGCAAGAGGTGGGCAACAGGGAATAAGTCAATGCTGCAGCCTGGTATCCTGCAGCTAGGTCTACCTGAGGGAGACAGATCCTCCTCCTACCCAGGGAGAGGAGGGAGACAGACCTGTTCGCCAGAGACTTTCTTTTCATAGTGTCTCATAGGTGGGTACCCAAGAAGCACAGGGAGGAGATACAGAGATGGCCCTGGGTGGCTGTGGGATGGGTGGTACTTCATTTCAGTGGACTTAATTTCACATTCTAGACATGCCTTCTACCACTGGTCCAGCAATGTGTGCCTCCTCCATCCCCCACCCCACCTCCTCTGCTGGTGCTCATATGGGAACCCTGGCTAAACAATGAAGGAGGGTCCACTTAAGGCCGAGGTTGTAGGTGGCACAGGGCAACCCCCCAATCAGGCATCTAGGAGCCACAGTTCATGCCAGACAAGGACATCTGGCTGGGTTGGACTTGCCGACAGGAAGAAACCCACCTTGGCCCTCCTACAGGTCCTGCCCATCAAGCTCCAGGGGTCCAGTATCAGGGGACTCTGATTCATTCACTGATGGGTGAGTCTCAGGTTTTCCTTTGGACTAGTCTAGGTTCAGAGCCCACCCTTCCACTGAACTCTCCACAGTAAGGCCTTGATAAGAGTGACAGGGTGATGGTGAGGGGTGCCGGGCTACATGGCTAGACCTGCCTATGCTGGACAGTTTTTGTGGATAAACGTGTTTTCTCACGGAGGCCTAGGTGAGGAAACTCACCTCCTTGGAAGGGCTGTGGTGGAGTGTGAAACGGCATACCTCTATCTCCTATAGCCTGGAGGGCAGAGGTCTTTACCACCTGTGTGTGGATTGGGCACCAGGATCCTGAAGGACAGACTTGGCACAGCAAAGGCCGAGGGGCCTGGGGTTCTGAGTCACAGAGGGGAGCACGGGCCCAGGCTACATGGCGGTGGTCTCACACACTACACTACAGCATGGGCGGCAGCTGACCTATACAAATATTCAGAACACACACCAGGAGGTTGCTGGCCTGCGTCACTGGGGGCCTGTAAGCAAATCCTTGGATGGTCCATGCCTCAACCTTGGAAGGGGCACTTGAATGACCCTGTGTGCTGTTTTCCCTATCCAGTGTCTACGCAGAAGGAACCAGGATCTCAACCCAGTCTGCTAGCGACACCTGCAGAGAGGCGGCTTTTCCAAGCCATGCTCCTCCCCAGGGTACCCAGGCCTTCTCCTCCTCTGCCTTGGTCCCAGCCTGTCCCACATAACATCAGATTATGCTCTGAAACCCAGCAAACCCCATTTGTGTTGACTTGGCCAGGGGGAAAGGCTGCTTCCGAGCCTGAGTCACACCAGAGTTGGTCAGAGCAGGACTGGTCCTGCCAAAGGTAGTAGAGGGCTCCTCTCTTGTATGTCCAGGGTCCTGTGGTTATGTAGTAGTCAAGACAGACCAACTAGACACAGGATAAAACCTTTATTGCTGAACATAAAATGCCCACCAGAGAAGCCTGGCCAGTAGCCTCTTCCCTGGGCAGGAGTCCTGGATGGGGAGGGCTGGGCACAAATCCTACAGCTATTGACACACCCACCACAGGAGACGGACTGGGGT